GGTATAAACCAATTGTTATTTATAATTAATGAAATTGTATTGCATAGTGAGCGACAGTGGCTCAGTTGGTGGAGCATTGGCCTTTGGGACTGAAGGTTGTCGGTTCGAGCCCACCACGTAACCTACTCCATGTGCTCCCACTAATGTCTGCTGTCGTTGTGTCCTTGGGCAAGACACTTAACCCCATTGCCTGAAGCTCCCGCTGAAACACCAAGGCTTTGGCACCACTGATGTTGCAGCCATCCTCCTGTGGACTCACCACCTGCAGAGGATCAGCGAGGGGCCGGTGCTAGGTGCAGCATTGGGTGTCATCCCCCTGACCCAGAAATGGACTAATAAAGGGGTAAAAAAATGAACGAATGTTTTGCATAGTTATATGTTGTAAATAGCATATATATATTTTAACTTGTGGTTAAACATTCAGATGATGGCAGATTATCAAAAAGGGGGAAATAGAATATATCTAATGGAAGTCTCAGGCGCTGATAATGTGTGTGTAAATATGGTAAAAGGCGGAGAGCTCCTGTCACCAGCCCACCGCCTCGACAAAGTGAAGAGCTCGAGTGATTGCAAAAAGCCTGTTTCTCCTTTATTAATCTTCTGTACCTGCCATGCAAAGCCACCTATGCGTCACAGAGTAAACGTGAAGTACTTACCACCTGGCAGGATTTGAACATTTAATTAACCAGGAGAGTCAACGGAACAGAGTGTCGTCATCTGTTTCCAGCCTCAATCTCATTCATTCAATAGAGTTTTTTATGAATAATAAAATCATGTGAACTATCATAACTTGATAAACTCAAGGCTATCTTATCAAGATTACCTCAATCCTGTAAACTTTAAGAAAAATGTCTTCTGCTGTGTTCAATTCTGAAAGCTCTGACCTGCAGCTGATGGATAAGGGGCATATCATGAGAATATTAAATTGTAATTACAACATAAATTCATGAAATACATAATTATGATACAATTGTAATAATAATAATAATAATAATGATTATAAAAATGCTTAAAGTTGTGAACAAGAACAACATGTTTGACCCCAAGGGGCGGCAGAGCATCAACAAATAAACAACATTGTGGGCAGATTAAAAATCTGTGGTTTTAATGCCCTGTATGATCCTGGAGTTTTATTTTGATAGTGTCTTTGTAAATACAGAAGTGAGCCCTACACTGCAAACAATGATAAAATATGAGCTAATAAATGCATGAATTGAGAGGTTTTCTTTTCATCTTAATTCTAATTTATTTGGATTGTCTTAAAACCAGACTTGCCAATGGGACGAAGCCACTAAGTCTTATTGAAATAATAATAATAAAAAGGACAAATTAATTGGAAATTAGTTCAGTTGGTAGAGCATTTGCTTTTAGGCCTGAAGGTCGTGGGTTAGAGCCCACAACAAGACCTGCTTCAAGACTCCTTGGGCAAGACACTTTACCCCACTCTGCCTGAAGCCCCTGCTGAAAGATCAAGGCTGTGTTTTCACTGACAGAGCAGCCATTCTCCCGTGGACTCACCACCTGCAGGAGGATCAGTGAGGGGCTGGTGCCATGTGTACTGGGTGCAGTTCTGACTCAGAAATGGATTAAGGGGAAGAAAATGGATGGATGGATCTATAAATAAATAAATGTTGCTTTTAAATTTGTGTACATCAACAGCACCACTAAAGCTGAATAGAAGTGTTGTCTTTGTTTACAAAACACGATAATTACACCAACATACATTTCCCAAAGGACATTTACTGCCTTGACAACACCGTCGCAGAAAAAAGATTTTCTTGGATTGCAAAGAATAAAAATTCACTACTCCTGCACTTCATCTGCTTCAAAGGTAAATCCGCTTCAAAAATGGAATAGAAAGAATGAACAGATAGTGACGTATTGAACAAATAGTGATTTAAACATGAAAGTGGAACAAGGTCACATTTGAAATATAGGGAGATAGGACTGCCAACATTCAAACTTGAAATTCAAAGAAGAAGGGAAGTGGCCTAAAGGTGCATGTGCAAGAGGCTCAGCAAAACTAAGCACCCACTGCCTTCATAACTTCAAAGAGAATGTCTGGTTTGTCCACAACTTTTACTTCCTGAAAGACACCCACGTTTTCTCAATAAATAATGCAATTATTACATTAGATCAAATTATAAATCCATTAGCAACAAAGATCTTAATGTGGATTTGGCGTTTACAGTTTTTGGAACAAGATGGTCGCTTTCAATGTCTTTTTTATCTATGAGGTCGTCTTTCCTGCAGGTTACCTGAGAAATAGATCCACACTACAATCATGCAGACGGTTAAGTACTTAACACTTAACATGAAAATGTAACATCTGCTATGAACTCAGGCAGACTGCCAATGTCCAATGCCAGCAGCAAGAGATGCCCGTCCATGTTCTGTATACTGGACTGAAAGCATCTGGTTCTTGAGGAGGGGAAGGGCATCTGGTGTCAAACATGGTGCAGAATCAACATGCAATGCAATGCACAGCAGCGGATGCATTTGCTGGACTGCCCCTGCTACTTTTTGCTCGAATGCTGAAGGATCTGAGATCATGCGGTGCTAAACATTCAAACCTTGCAGAAACGGGTAATAGCTCCTTTAAACATGTATGGGAAGAAAGGAATGTAGCAAAAAAACAAGGAGGGCAATAAATGGTACAGACGCAACAATTCCAACTTTTTGAAAAACAAAAGCAAAGTACAAAGTGAGCTAAAGAATACATACTTCAAAATACAAATACTATGTCACTGAGCCAAAGGGCACTTGCAAAACTCAAAAGGAGCTTTCTCTCGCTCGCATGCACACAAAATACACACAAAACATACACACACACACTCTCTCACAGGATCACACAGAATAACATCTGAACAGATCAGAGGAGAACGTGGTCCCGTCAGACCAAGCCGAGTACAATGTGCATGATGCTTGTTTGCTGACGTACCAGCAGTGCCAGTGCAGGACTGAGCGCACAAAGGGTGGTGCTCCAATCTGTGCACTGTGCGTGTCCTGGGCAGCAGCAACATGGGCAGCAGCCAAACATGGCTTGTTTGACCTTGAAAAAAATATTTTTTGTTGTTATATTTTTTGTATATTTGAATTGTAGCACTGTGGTGCCCATGTTTATATGTTTTGGCAGAGGAGGGGGACACTCTCTCTATGTATCCCTGAATATTCAGGGATAGGAATAGTCTACATCTCGCTAGGGTAAATGTTTGGCAAATTCAAAAGTACTTAAACTTGGATGTTTCTTGGGTGCCTCTTTTCAGTAAGTGTAAAGTTGATTTTACTACTAATTAGTATTAATGACTCAAAATTGACTTAAAATTGAGATCCGGAATTCCATTGAAGGAATGGAACTGTCCCACTTGGCGATTGTCTGCGCTCTACAAGTGCTTTTTTATGTATTCAATAGGGACATTCCCCCTTTCTACAAGAAGGGGGAAGGGAGGGGGTGTTGACCTGTCTCAGGATTAGACCGTCCTGAGACAAGTTGTACCCTACTGATGACTTATTTATTGCAATAGTAATCCTGCTGTCCCACTATAATTGGACCACATCAATTATCACACTGCTCAGCCTCCCATGTAAAGCGAACTCCAAGGTACTGGATCGGAGACGTTTGTGGATCTGCAGAAGCTGTTCGACCGTGTTTCCCGGGGTGTCTTTTGGGGGGTTCTCCGGTAGTACGGAGCAAGGGGTCCTCTGCTGATGGCTGTCCAGTCCCTGTATAACCGTAGTCAGAGCTGCGTTTGTATCGCACAGCAGTGACAGCAGTAAGTCAGACCCGTTTCCAGTTCACCGGCGGTGTCAAGTTCGGGGACGATCTGTGGTGTTCTACGTTCCCTCCCACACCTATGGTCAAATGCTTTGGATAATGGTTGAAAGGACGAGATCACGGATACAAGCGGTCAAAATGAACTTCCTTCGCAGAGTGGCTGGGCGCTCCCTTAGAGATAGGGTGAGGAGCTTGGACGCACAGGAGCAGCTCGAAGTAGAGCCGCTGCTTCTCCATGTCGAGAGGAACCAGTTGAGGAGGCTCGATGCCTGACGTTTATAGGGAACCTCATTGGGCCTCATTCACGAACGGTTCTTAGGAACAGATTTGTACGTAAATCCTACTTACGAAGTTTTTACGAAGAAAGTGGCATTCACAAATTTTTCTCGTAACCAGAATTTCTCTTGGGCAAGTACAAATCCTACGAGTCCTCAGGAGCACTCGTACGCATTCAGTGCCGACATGTTCACACGCCAGGGTTGTCCTCTTTGGTGAAGTTTAATAAAAATACAACATTCCAGCGATATTTCCGTCATATCGATGTATGTATGCGGAACAGCAGGCTGCTCATAAGGCTGTCTGAGTCTGTGTGAGTGAGAGCAGAAAGCTGATCCACAGAGTCAGAGCAGGACAGCAGGACATTCTCCCCATCGCTCTCAAAGCCCATGTTACCCTGCAGACAAAACATGGCCGCAGGTGGGAGTTACAGCCCAACAGGAGCCGTGTTAGGTTCCTTCAAACTACTCAAACCCATCAAATCTACAAGATCTATAGACAAGAGATGGATTTGCTGCACTGTCTTAATTGGCTGCCTACTTCTTTTATCAACAAGAAGGCGACTCACAAACTCAGTCCAGGGACTCTCCCCCACCCAACACCTGTTGCACTCAATACTGCTAAACAGCAGCGGACAGGCAAAGATACCCGGTGCGCAGGGTAATCTAAGATACGCAAATGCAACGATAAATCTCGTGCACTTAGCAGTTATAGTGCTTCTTGCAGGGGATGTTGAGTTAAATCCAGGACCCGAGTCGCAGAGGTCTCTAGGCACAAGCAGCCTGTGCGCAATGCTAACAGAGGAACTACAGCAAACACAGCTGAATGAACCGGTGTACTTCCTACCCGTTCTACCTGTTATGCTTCCATTGGCTTCTCCATGGACTTCACAGACATCCCATCATTGGAATGAAATACCAATCAGTGGATTTACCTTGTCGGCTGCATGTCAGGGGGGATCTGTCCCGTTGTGGCCCGCGGGGGGAGTCTCCACCGTGTCCGGTGCTGCGGCTGTCTGTCCGTCTTGGCCCGCGGGGGGGGTCTCCACCGTGTCCGGTGCTGCGGCTGTCTGTCCGTCTTGGCCCGCGGGGGGAGTCCCCACTGTGTCCGGTGCTGCGGCTGTCTGTCCATCTTGGCCCGCGGGGGGAGTTTCCGCTGTGCCCCCTGCTGCTGCGGAGGCCACGCCGGTGGTGGGCTGCCCTGTGTGCCCGGAGGGTACAGGACTGGCAACAGAAGCGCTCATCACGCAACCATCTACTCGGCAAGTAACTGAAATTTACTCCACAGAAGCGCAACCAGTCTCCAGAAAAAGCAGAAACGCGGTCTACAAAAAGCATAGGCACTTGAGAATCTTCAATACACTTAGCCACGCAAGAGTAGTTTGGGATTCTAGTAGTAAGAAAAATTGTTTACTTGGAGGTCATTTAAATGTACGCAGTATGGTGTCAAAACGTGAACAATTGGAACATTTAATCTGTAACTCCAATATAGACTTTTTTGGACTATCTGAAACATGGCTAACGAACTCCTCCCCTGATTCAGCTATAAACTTGCCAGGTTTCAATACCTTTAGAAATGATAGGAGTCAAGGAAAAGGTGGTGGAGTCCTGTTATACGTCAAAAACAATCTTAAATGCACATCTATATTATGGCCTAACAGTATCACCTTAGAATGTGTTGGGGTAAACATTTCACTCTCGGCTGAAATGTCACTAACTGTCATTTGTCTGTATCGTAAACCCTCATCAAAAAGTGACTTTTATGACCAGTTTAATGAACTTCTTTCACTATACGGCCAAAAGAAAGAAACAATCATTCTGGGAGATTTTAACATAAACTGGGATGACAAAAAAGAGAGAAGGAGTTTGAAAACATTGACTGATAAATTTAATTTTAACCAATTAATTGAGAAGCCAACAAGAGTTACAAATCATTCAGCCTCTAGAATCGATCTACTTTTCTCAAATAAACCAGAAAGGATTACAAAAACACATAATCTGTTAACGGGTCTTTCTGACCATAATGCCATCTTCTGTACAAGAAAATTAACCAAACAACGTTATAATTACCTAAAAGAAGGCAAACGGGTGACAACAAAAGGCATTCCAAATAGAGAGCAACCAAACTTAGAAAAGGCCTTAAAGGAATTAAATTGGGAACAAATTATCTCATGTAACAATATTGATCTATGCTCTGAATCATTTCTGACCAAAATTGAACAAGTTTACATATCTTTTTTAAAACCTCAAAAACATAGAGGTATAAAATCTCAATCTGCCCCTTGGATAAACTTAAATTGCATCAAACTGATGAAAAGTAGAGACCAATTGTTGAAAAGGTTTATCAAAACAAAATTGACCTCAGACAGGCTGAATTACACACAAACTAGAAACAAGGTAATAACAGAAATGCGAAAGGCCAAAGCTAATTTTTTCATTTCAATTATGGAGAATGCAGGGGGGAATGGAAAATTAATATGGCAAAAGATTAATACACTTTTAGTGAATAAAAATAAGAATGTGTGTGATCTAGAGCTGAAGATAGAGAACCAGCTTGTGAAAGATCCTGCTGTACTAGCAGAAGAGTTTAATTCTTTCTTTGTACGCTCAGTACAAGAAGTAGCTGCTTGCTTTAGCACTAATGTAACTAACTTTTCTCATAGCACAACTGAAAACGACCAAAGCCTTGAACTACTGAAGATATCTGAAGCAGAAGTTATTACCATAATCAATCAAATGAAAGGCTCCAAAGCCAAAGACTTCATGGACTTGGATACTGCCTTCCTAAAAACACACAAAAAGGTCCTTGCACGTCCAACCACACATCTAATCAACTTATCTGTTGAACACTCCACTGTACCACAGACCTGGAAAATGGCCGTTGTGACGCCAATTTTTAAATCAGGTGAGAAAACCAATGTGTCCAATTATAGGCCAATAAGTATATTGCCTATTTTCTCCAAGGTCCTGGAGAAATGGGTAGCAAAACAATTGGTAGAACATCTCAATAATGGCCAGGCTCCTCTGCACCCTATGCAGTTTGGCTTCCGTGAACACCATTCAACAGAAACTGCAATAACATTGTTTTTAGAACGAGTAAAAAGTAGTCTGGATAGACACACCTATGTGGGTGCAGTATTTCTAGATTTGAGAAAAGCATTTGATGTAGTGAACCATGATATACTTCTGTCTAAGCTGCCATTTTTCAATTTTTCTGAGAAAGCCATAAAATGGATGGCTTCATATTTGTCTAGTAGAAAACAAGGGTCTGTGGTCAATGGAGTGAAATCAAGTTTTATCAACTGTCCACTAGGGGTCCCCCAAGGATCAGTTCTTGGCCCTATTTTATTCTCCATGTTCATAAATGATCTGCCCAATATTTGTAAAGGTGTAAACATTCAATTATATGCCGATGATGCAGTGATATATGCAAGTGCAAAATCATCTGAGGAAGCTGCTAAAATTCTAACGTCAGCACTTGTAAATATTCAGAGTTGGCTCACGAAGTCCTGTCTGCTCCTAAACAAACAAAAAACTGTTTGTATGATGTTCTCTAAAAAGGCCTCTAACATCAGCCGCTCCAATGTGTTTATTGAAAATCAGGAACTACAACTAGTAACAGAATTTAAATACTTAGGGGTGTTAATAGACTCCACATTATCCTTTAAAAAACACGTGAAGATGATTGGTAATAGAATTAAGTTCACCGTTTCCAATTTTAATCATATACGGAGGTCATTAACAGACGAAGCTGCCTTGACGTTTTTGCACTGTATGATTTTTTTCCCATGTAAGCTATTGTATAACGTGTTGGTCACTAACAGGTGTAACAATCCTAAAGCCAATTGAGAGGCTCTACAAAAAAGCACTGAAAGTTTTAGACAAAAAACCTTACACTTACCATCATTGTAGTATCCTCTCAAAATATAAACTATTAAGTTTTGAGAACTTTATCAAATTCAAAAATGCTTGTCTCATATACAAAAGTTTACATGGGTTAGCCCCCCCTCCTCTGAACGATCACATTAGATACAAAACTTCAACTTCACGAACCACCAGAGCCATGAGTCGAGGTGATTGTGAGGTTCCTGCGAGAAAAACTACTTTCGGACAAAATGTTCTGTCGTACAAGGGCTGTATGCAATGGAACAGTTTGCCGACTTCTGTAAGAGAGGCCCCTAGTTTTACTTCATTTAAAAGTCTCCTAAAGGAGTGGTTAAGGTCGTCTCAAACATGCGACCATTAATAATGTTGGGGAACATGCGATAGGGTTTGTTTGCAAATAGGACATGTGTAGTTTTGGTTGACTGTAATGCAAGGATGTTATGCAGTAATGGGGTGTGTAAAATAACGGGATGTGTGCAATAATGAGATGTGTGTAACGGGATGTGTGCAATAATGAGATGTGTGCAATAATGACATGTGTGCAATAATGAGATGTGTGCAATAATGAGATGTGTGCAATAATGAGATGTGTGCAATAATGAGATGTGTGCAATAATGAGATGTATGCAATAATGAGATGTGTGCAATAATGAGAGGTGTGCAATACTGAGATGTGTGCAATAATGAGATGTATGCAATAATGAGATGTGTGCAATAATGAGATGTGTGTATTAACGGGATGTGTGCAATAATCTGATGTGTGTATTAGATGTGTGTAACAACGGAACGTGTGCAATAATGAGATGTGTGTAATTTCCTCTTGTTTCTGTTAATGTTGCTGCATTTGACCCGTGTGACCCTGACCCTATGGGACTACAGATGGAAATTAGCCTTTGGCTATAATCTGGCATGTTTACATTCATGTTTTTAATGTCTGTTCATTGACATGCACTGTCCCATTCAAATAAATAAATAAATAAATAAATTTATTTATTTGTAGTAATCTTTAGTAGTAATCTTTATTTATATACCGCCTTTTTCACTGCAGATCTGGCCTACTTTTTAATTCATTTTGAAATGAAATGTGCCAACGCTTTATCAAATACATTGGAAATCTTGCCGTGTATCAGTGACCCCTTCCTATTTATTGGGGGCATTTCTTTATCCACGGGCCACAGAACAACGGCGTATACACTGCTGCTGCAGGAGGTTACTGGGTCCGCGCTGAGTCTCTGCGCTGGTCTCTCCTAGGATCTATACGGGTCTGCACTGGTCTCTCCCATGGATCTATACGGGTCTGCACTGGTCTCTCCCATGGATCTATACGGGTCTGCACTGGTCTCTCCCATGGATCTACACGGGTCTGCACTGGTCTCTCCATACGGGTCCGTGCTGCATGCTCCTGGATCCATACGGGTCCGCGCTGGTCTCTCAAGTCTGGTCTATGCGGTCTCTCTTCGGTCCGCGCTGGTCTCTGCGCACCGGTCTCTCCAGTCAGGTCACTACAGTCTATGCGGTCTCTCCTATAGGTCCGCGCTGGTTTCTGTGTGCTGGTCACTCCAGTCTCTCCTCGGGTCTGCATTGATCTCAGCGCTGGTCCGCGCTGGATCTCCTCCCAGGGTCCAAAATATTTTGAGATTAATCTCAAAACATTTTGAGATTCATTTTTAAAATAATACATAATATATTTTTAAATTAAGCTCATAACATTTTGAGATTAATCTCATCATATTCTTAGATTAATCTCATAATTTTGCTAGTTCGATTTTATTCTCATAATATTTCGACTTTTAAGTCAACATTTTATAACTTTATTCTCAGTCTGGCAAAAGAAGAAAAAAGACTCTTTTGCTCCGTGTAACTCTTTGCTTTAGGCCTGTTGCGGTTTCCTCTGCCGTCTGCACACGGCCCTGCAGTCCCTTATATGGGCATTAATGGGCGGTTACTTATACTAAGTACCTATGCTAATGAAGCACCTGGCACGCGCGCTCTACTTACGAGGAAATGGGATTCATCAATCTAGAGAACAGCTGCGAACAATTCAGCGGCTCACGAGTGCGTTGATGAATCCCACGTAGGGACTTCTTAGAAATCTACTTAAGGACAACTTGAGAAGAAATTTGAGAAGTTTCTTACGAAGTTATTCGTGAATGAGGCCCATTGTCTTTTATGGATGTGACTCTGGTCCTGAGACTAAGAGGCTTTGTTTTAAATAAGTTAGACATATGAGGCTTGGCCAGTCTATTAGTACATTCAAAATAAAACATGCATATCTAAAGTTTCTAAAATTCTCCAAGCCTAAAAGATAATAGTTTTATAATCATATAATTTTATTTAATCTAATCTAATGTCACATTAA